TCAGATCCTCTACTTTCATTTTCCACCACTGAAATGTTGGTTACTTGGTCCTAAATTGCATAAAGCCCTTTTTGCTGGGATAAGCAAAGCTGTGGCACTTTCGGTACCCTTGAACCCAAAATGATTCTACAGATTTGGCTGCCCAGACAAGCTGACTGATGGTCAGATATTTATGAGCATGCACATAACTGAGGGATACTCTTATAACGCAATAATTCTTAAGTCCACATCTGCCAACCTCCAGGGCATAATTAACATTATTTTATTTTATTTTTAAAATTGCACCCTGTACAACACAGCCCTAAGGTGCTTCCAGAGAAAATGAGCACATTATGACAAATAAAATATTATAGAACAACAACTAATAGCTGAAGCAAATTAAAAATAAGAACCCATAAAATAGTCTTATTGCCAGGCCACAGGGGAGGAACAAAGCCCTTTAACCACTACAACTGTTAGACGCTTTAAGACTTTTCCTGCTTTCACGCAAGAGAAGCAGGAGCTGGTGGAGGGAAGAAGGATTGGGAGAGAAAAACCACAAGCTTCATTCAGAGCGCATTATTTCCCAGCAGGACCATGACAGGCCCCTGAGTTATGGGAAAGGGCCAACGATGCCCTGATGCCCAAAGATAGGTAGGGTCACGTTTGGTTTCTTGAGATGCATGGTCCAACTTTAAATAACTAACTGAAGCCCTTCGGTCCCTCATTTTCCTGCTAGACTTAGATCTGATGTCATTTTCTTCATTTTCCCCAATAGGAAAAGTTCCATATTATTTTAAAACTTAAATAGACCTTATCTATTCCATACATACAAATCATGACACTATCAATATATAAATCGGTGTATACACCCATACTATACACATGTATACACAGACACTCCCACATCTGCAAACTGAACTTAGAGGCCCTTCTGCAGATGACAACACAGGATAACTGAACTCATCTACTAGCCAAACTACAAAGCCAGTCCACTAGGCATTTTTAAAATAAGAGTGTACTCTAATTTTTCCTTAAGCTTCCACAAAGTTTTGCATTGCTATCAAAATATTTTTGGAAATTCTGTAATGTTTCTCCTTTTCCCTTGGCTTCTTATTTCTGGCAAGGACTAAACCCCAAAATATCTTTCCTCTGGGACACTGAAATAACTGTCCCAAAGCAGCTGCCAGAGCCATAGCTATTCAGAGATTTGGGACAGATTTCCAAGGAAGGCCACTTGCAATTTTAATTGTTTGAGTCAAAAGCTCCACCTCCTGAGATTCTCAAAGAACAGGTGTGCGAGGCAGGGCGGGGGTGCTGTCTCCTGGATTCTCTCATTTTCGTTCATGACTCCGTCTGCTGTTTCACTTCCCTTTCTTCCCTCCTCTTGTCTGCCGCCCACCCTCCTCTGGGTTTTATTTTAGATGTAAAGAAAAAAATCAACTCATCTCTCCCTCTCCCACCCCCACCCCCCAGGGCTCTGAGGTTGGATCTCTCCTCTGCTGACTTTCCAAAAGCTTCCCTTACTATAATGGTGCCATTATTGGGTTCTTCTTACCCAGGGCCACCTCCCTCAAGTTTAGAACTCTGTAGAAGGCGTATCTGGTAATTAAGAGAAGAACGAGGTCTCCACCACCAAGCACAGCTGCCTGACTGGCTCAGACTTGGGGGTTTCCTGCAGACAAATAAGGTTTGGACTCGTTATGTAGCACACAGGGACCTTTACATCAGGGGTTCTCAACCCTGGTCACATCCCAGAAGCGCCTGGGAACTGTTCCCCAAAATACCTTTGTCAAAAAAAAAAAAAAAAACCCTTTGTCCAGGCCCGTTGAATTGAATCTCTGGCCGGGGCCTGGGCGTTGCAATTTTTTAACAGCTCCCAGATGATTCTATTGTGCAGCAGGATTAAAAACCACTGATTTAGATTCTGCTTGTGGAAGTTATCCAACCCTGAGCTTACTCCCTTCCTTCCAAATACACCCCAGGAGATTCCTCTGCCTGCTCTCACACCAAAGATTTCTGGGAGCCAGGAAATTGAGTATGGTGGCCTCGGGAATGCAGTTTAGTTTTAAAAAATAAGAGGGCTGAAGAGAGAGGGTGGTGCCGAGGCATGGGGAAGGCTGGTCCTGGTGGTACCCCGGCCCCCCCCCCCCCCCCCCCCCGGCGGCGGCGGCACACCGCTGGTGTGCATGAGGCCACCTCCTCTCCCTGGGGCCTGATCCGCTTAGAACTTGGCAGATGAGACACTTGAAGCATCGTGACGCTCAGTTTCTTTCTTGCCTGCGTGGGAGAGGGGAAAAACTAAGTCGTGGAGGACACTGGAGACTCAGAAACTATGATGCAGAGACTCAAGACAGGAACACATCCCAGTCAGCAAAAGGCCAACCTAAAAATTGAGTCACATCTATCTCGAGAGGGTTAGGATGCAGGAACAAGTATGATTTTTCCCGCAGATTGTAGCCGGAGAGACAGACACACAGCTGCAGCCGTGACACAGTCCCCACCCCCCAACCCCCGGGTCCCACAAAGGCTGGGGACTCCGCCGGCCACGGAGAAAGTGGTTCCTGAAGCCCCAAACCACCACGGCCCCTCAGACTCTCCAGCTGCTCACCCTGCCGTCAGGAAAGGATAAGGAGTCCCTCCCTTGAAGCCCAGAGTTCTAACGAACTCCAGGGGGTTCCAACCTCCCACCCCCTGTTGCTGAGGCAACTGGCGGGCACCGTCCAGCTCTTCTAGGCCAGTGACTCTGCTGTGCTTAGCTTTTGCTCAGAGCTTCTTGGCTCTCCGCCTGCCTTCCTCTGGCACACTGATGGCCGCTGCGGCCCTCCTGGTGTAGTCCCTGCAGAGAAGGTCTCCCTGCCTCCACCCATCTTTCTTCCAATCTCTCTCTCTCCCCAGATGTCTCCGAGTTCATGTGGGAAAGCATGTTCTTAGAGCCTATTAAAAAGACTTTCAAGGTCACGCCTTCCCCCCCTCCCCCGCACCCTTTGGAGTCCATCGTATCCACTGTATCCAGGCAGTGTGTCAAGTGGCCTGAACGAGAGGGGGTGACAATTTTGCATGCTCCTAAGGTAGGTAGAGTTCCTAAACGTTTCTGGCTTTCCTCTGGCATGGTTCCGATTTGTGCACATCCAGAACTCAGGTCCTTGCCCTCAGAGACAACCGGGAAAAGCACAGGCAGAAGGATGAATGCGCATGTGCAATGTGGATGCGTCCCAGCTACCAGGGAGCAAGCAGTACGTTTTCCAGCCCAGTTAAAAACCCGCCCCCATTCACGCAACCTTGGCGCTTCCAATATAATGAAGTTCCATTACTTGGAATTCGGGGTGTGTTTCTTCCCTCTTCCTCCCCGCTCCCACCCAAAGCAAATTCAAGCGAAGAAGACCAAAAGAGAGTGAATGATCTCTCTTTCAGATTATGAACTGCCGGAGTCCTGGCCCCTTTTGAAAGGCACCCCATGACCAAACCAACAAATGGCCCCCAGTGCTGGTCACCACTGCTCCTTCGACAGTCCGAAGTCACCCAGCCGGACTCCTGTGGGGCTAGGGCCCCACCCTTCATAAAGCTTCAGCATAAATTAGCAAACACGTTTGGCTCCCAACTATAAGAAAGGTTTTTTGTTTTTGTTTTTTAATGAAATGAAACCACGTAACCTACTGCACTTTTCTCTAAGCCAATAGTTAGATCTGGACATTGGATGTGATATATCTTTAAAACTGGTCAGAGTGATCGCATACCAAGATTGGGGACACGAAATGCCTTAAGGCAGACCCTCCTGCAGGAGAAGCCTGGCAGGGAATGCCCCGCCTGGAACTAAGGCTCCCTGCTGCAGGGGTTTCTTGCCTTGTTTCATTTTTAGAAACCAGAAAAACACGAAAGGGCTCCAGTTCTAACCATCCCACTCAGGCTTGGCCGCAGGCAAAACTAGGAAAATGGGCCAGGATAGCCAGGCCAGGCTTCCAGCCCCTACCTGCCCCCATGAAAGTCAAGGACCCAATCAGGGGCCCCCTACTTCCCAGCCCAGGGTAGACAGAAGCAGGCCAGGGGCACACGCATTCCAGAAATCTCGGAGTACAGGACAGAAGAGAACAAAAAGCAGAGAAGTATGTCGGAAAGTCAATATAATCATCATCATTATCATAATAATAATAATAAACAACCTAATGGCCACTAGGACCCTTCTCCTGGCTCTCCTACTTAGAGGCTTGGTGACCTTGAGCACTTAACCTCTCTCTTTCTCCACCTGTAACATGATGACAATTTTCTACCCAGAACCTTGTCCCAGGGGTTGTCATAAGAACCAGATGAGATCATGTAAAACAAAATTTTTTTTGAAGACGACAAAGTTGGTTCGTAACCTATTCAGAATATTCATTCTTTTTAGAATGAAAGACTGCTTAACATCAATATGCAAAACCAGGTACCACACCTAAATATTATACCAAGTAAATGAAATCTTAGCCACCTATTGATGGTTAAACATGCATATTGTATTTTTCTTATAATAAATTCCTGTTACTGGGAAATATGTAAATAGCCCCATTGCATAAGGCCAGTTATAGCATTTGCTAAAGTGGGCTTCCACCTCTTGGGGTGGTATAGTTTCAAGGGTCCCTAAGGAGTGCTCTGTACAACTCTGAGTGGGTGGTGCAAGTCTTTAGCTGGACCACATAAAAATTATATCCATTCTCATGGAATGCCGCTATCTCTCTGATTTGTGAGTAGGCTGCTCGATGAGTTCAGAAAAACATTTCCTTCTAGCTCCAGCTGGCAAGATGTCAAGATTGAAAAACACATTTCCTGCTTCTCTTTCTTGCCGCAATTGGGATGGATGACCCTAATTCTCACCACCCCATTTCCTTAAACCATTAGCAGTGATTGAATCTCTGCCCATCCCAACGAGCCTCACACAGACGATTTTAATGCACAGCAGCACCCGTAATAGAGAGAACTATGTTGTGAAACTTCAAATTTACTTTTAATTCCATCTTTGACAGACCAAATTGAAGCCATGGGTTATACTTTGTTATGGCCGCTTAACACTAGCTGGAAATTCGGGCACCCTCCGGTTTGTAAAAGTTTGCCTCTCTCATTAACCTCAGATCAAATAAGATACCTCCATCTCTCTCGATGGCTTTCAGTTCACAGAAAGAGTCCGTCATGATGGGGGGAGGTCGTCTAAAAAGACAGCCAGAAGCCAATGTCCCTGAGGAATTGGGGATCCAGCAGAAGAGACGAGACAGCCAAGTGTGGTCTGATTGTCCATACATTCACACGCACTTGTTACGTGCTGCTCAGCAAGGAAGGAGTTTCATGAGACACACAAAAGCACTGCAAGCAATATTCACTCGTTCTTAAGTAACCGGGCACCACTTGCCCACGAAGCTTGAGAGAAGAGAAAGATAATAAGGGCAACACCACTGCAGACTGCTTCCCTTTCTCCACTCTCTGGACAAGCTCACAACGAACTATGATCCCCACTTGATAGACGAGGCACTAGAAGGCTTGCAAAGGTTGTGTACTGGGGGCACCTGGGTGGCTCAGTTGGTTAAGCTGCCTTAGGCTGAATCCAGGAATCAAGCACCGCCTCGGGCTCCCTGCTCAGCGGGGAGTCTGCTTCTCCCTCTAACCCTCCCCCTTCTCGTGCTCTCTCTCTCTTTCTCAAATACATAAATAAAATCTTAAAAAAAAAAATAGGTTGCATACCTTGCCTAGTATGCCATAGATGCTTGCTGCAGAGCAAAAATTCCAACCGAGATTTATCTGATTCCCAAGCTTCTGCTCCTAACCATTATACTCGGCTGGCTTCATTGTCCGCAGGAGTCAGTCAGGAGACCTTTGGGATGCTGAGGTTTGAATTGGCTCTTGAGGGCAGTGTGTGCTTGGCCTGAGGGAAAAGAGGAGATGGTGTCATCCAAACTGCTGACTGTGTATCCCCAGGGCCCAAAGCACTGCCCAGTATAGGTAGAAGCTCCATGTCTATTTAAATGAATGAACAGACAAGAAAATGAGAAAACGGTACAAACAAAGTCAAGGAGATCAGTATAAGGATAGAGAGCAAAGGGGGGCGGGGGGGAGGGAAAACGAGAGAGTGGAAGAGGAAAGAAGAGCAGAGACCAGAGAGGAGCAGTGTTCACTGTAGCAAGGAGTAGGCGCTGAGGTCATCCAAGCCCGGTGGAGCTGAGGAAGGCTGAAAATTCTAGGGTGAGGAGCTTGCATTCAGTTCTGTGCATGATGGTTAAATAAATTCCTAAGGAGGGGCCTGATAAGCAGGAAGCCATCACTGAGAACGATTAGTCTGGCTCTGTTGTGTGGGAGGGCCTGGAGGTAGAGGGACCAGAGACTCAGACCAGCCGGTGACTGAGGAACCCACTAGGGAGGACCTGGGGGCTCTGACTGGTGACCTAGGTAAGAGTTGAGCACAGAAAAACAAAAACCAAACAAGCAAACAAAAACAGAAACAAAACAAAACAAAAAAGAGTTGAGCACCAACTCGTGTCTCAGTTGAACAGACAAGAGAGTTGGGCAGGCCATGGTGTCCACATTGTTTCCGGCAAGAAGAGGACAGCAGGGAAGCCTGCAAGCTCTCTTCATCACAAGCAAGCCAGGAGACGGAGATACCACGAAAATAAGCAGCTCAGCCTCACGACCCAAAGAATTACTTTTAAAAATCTTTGGTCGCGGGGCGCCTGGGTGGCTCAGTTGGTTAAGCGACTGCCTTCGGCTCAGGTCATGATCCCAGGGTCCTGGGATCGAGCCCCGCATCGGGCTCCCTGCTCAGTGGGAAGCCTGCTTCTCCCTCTCCCACTCCCCCTGCTTGTGTTCCCTCTCTCGCTGTCTCTCTCTCTCTCTGTCAATTAAATAAATAAATAAATAAATAAATAAATAAAAAATCTTTGGTCGCCAGGTCAAAGAAATTGGCTATCGGTCTGAG